ATCAATAGGGATCATCTACTGGTCATGACCAATCACCATACCAAGTTTGAAGTTCCTAGGCCTAAGGGTTCTTTAGTTATCACACGGAAACCCTTTGGTCTACGGACCGACGGACCGACAAGTGCAAAGCAATATACCCCCTTTTCTTCGAAATGGGGGCATAATTACTTTGAATAGAATTATGGTTCTTGTGCACTGAACTTCCTCTTATTGTGCTTGACCATTGTATGAAGTTGCACTGAATTCCAACCGTTAGTTTTCAAGTTATGCACTGGACAAGAAAAAGTAATTAAGGGCAATAACTTTTGGATTAGTCAAGATGGAGTTATGGTTCTTGTGCACTGCACTTCCTCTCAATGTGCTTGACCATTGTAAGAAGTTGTATTATTTCCATCTAGTGGTTTTCAAGTTATGCTCCAGACAAGACAAATGCAATGGAAAAGTAACAAAGGGTAATAACTCTATAATTACTCTGGATAGAATTATGGTTCTTGTGCACTGCACATCCTCTTATTGTGCTTGACCATTGTATGAAGTTGCATTGAATTCAAACCAGTACTTTTAACTTATGCTCCAGACAAAGAAAACTTTCAAAGGGTAATAACTCTGTAATTAATCAAAATAGAGTTAGAGTTATTGTTCATGTGCACTGCACTTCCTCTCAATGCACTTGACCAATGTATGAAGTTGTATTGAATTCCAAACATTAGTTTCTAAGTTATGCTCCGGACAAGGAAAATGCAAGGGACAACTGGACCAACCGACCATCGGGTAAAATGATCACTCACGTGAAGATTCATTAGAATCCTACCAGTACAATGTAGCTTGATGTGTAAAAGCCGGAAAAAAAATTTCTATTTATAAGTCTGGGGGATATTTTGTGCAGCAAAGTGGAACATGCTGTGATATAAATAACTAGGGATGTTACTCAACACTCCCGTGAAGTTTTCATTGAAATGCCATCAGCAGCTTGACTTGTAAAAGCTGGAAAAGATTTTTCAATTGATAGCTTTGGCGGCCATTTTGTGCAGCGAAGTGGAACATGCCAGCATTATGCATAATTAGGGATGGTACTGTTCACTCCTATGAAGTTTCATTGAAATCTAACCAGCAGTTCTATCTGTGAAAGCCGGACAAGATTTTTCTATTTATAGCTCTACCAGCCATTTTGTGCAATGAAGCAGAAAGTGCCGGTGATGTTTATACAAAACAAAATCAAAAGATTCAATTTTCTCAGGATGAATTTGTATAACTAATGTTTCAACATTTCTCTATTTTATGTAAATGTTTTGGAAACATACCAGACGGACTGACGGACAATTTTCAGGATATTTGGGGAAACAAGAGCAAGATCACATGTGTCGCCTCATGATGGCCAATTTTATGTTGGGACAAATTTTGTGACAGACGGACAGACAGACGGACAGTGCACAACTAGACTTGGTACTGATCATTCCTGTAAAGTTTGGATGAAATTGCACCAGTAGTTTATGAGGAGAAGTCCGGACAAGCTTTTGTGTATCTGGCAACACACAGAAAACAAGGAATTATCATAGTATTGCAAGCAATCCATAAGTCCCCTACCGGTTAGAACCCCATCAACATTCTGAAGGGCCATTGGCCATTCACTAATGTTTCAATGTTTCTCTATTTTAAGTAAATTTGTTGGAAAAGTTCTTTAAAAGTGATCACAGGAAACAGTTTTTATGAACAGACAGACAGATGGACTGAAGGACACTCTAAAGTTAATATTTGAAACATCCCTGTTACCAAAATATAACATTTTAAAAGCAAAATTCTTAAAGAGGAGATATCTCTTGAATTAAAGATGCAATTTCATAAAAAATTTCAGCTCTTTTTGACTAATCACAAATATTGCTATATTTGCCATGTTTTAAGCCTATTTGTTGCCAAGGCAACAGATATTTTTTTTCAAAATAGGAAGAACAGATAAGACATGCATAATCTCATATGTCAAGTTTCATAAAAATATTTCCAGTACTTTTTGAGTTATCAATGGATTCAGTTTATGTGTAAAATTTGCCATATTTTCAGTCTATGTGTTGCCATAGCAACCAGAATTTTCAACATAGGAAGAAAAGAAAAAGACGTGCATAATCTCAAGACTGCCATCTACCCATATGTCAAGTTTCATAAAAATATTTCCAGTACTTTTTGCGTTATCACTGGATCCAGTTTATGTGTAAAATTTGCCATAATTTCAGCCTATTTGTTGCCATAGCAACCAGAATTTTCAACATAGGAAGAAAAGAAAAAGACGTGCATAATCTCAAGACTGCCATCTACCCATATGTCAAGTTTCATAAAAATATTTCCAGTACTTTTTGCGCTATCACTGGATCCAGTTTATGTGTAAAATTTGCCATATTTTCAGCCTATTTGTTGCCATAGCAACCAGAATTTTCAACATATGAAGAAAAGAAAAAGACGTGCATAATCTCAAGACTGTCATCTACCCATATGTCAAGTTTCATAAAAATATTTCCAGTACTTTTTGCGCTATCACTGGATCCAGTTTATGTGTAAAATTTGCCATATTTTCAGCCTATTTGTTGCCATAGCAACCAGAATTTTCAACATAGGAAGAAAATAAAAAGACGTGCATAATCTCCATACTGCCATCTATCCATATACCAAGTTTCATAAAAATATTTTCAGTACTTTTCAAGTTATCGCGGGATCCAGTTTTGTGGACGGACGGACTGACGGACTGACAGACGGACAGACGGACGGACGGACAGACGGACGGACGGACAGACGGACGGAGGGTAAACCTAAAGTCCCCTCCGGTAAACCGGTAGGGGACTAAAAACACCTTTTTTATCAAAGGGCCATAACTCGGCCAAAAATCATTCAACCTGAAAACCCGTGCAATATGCGCAAGGACTTGAGCTACAGATCAATCCTGTAAAGTTTCATTGAAATTGCATTAGTGGTATAAGAGAAGTAGTCCGGACACACTTTAAAAATTATTAAAGGGCCATAACTCTGACAAAAATCATTTAACCGGAAAATGCTGACAATATGCACAACTAGACTTGGTACTGATCATTCCTGTAAAGTTTGGATAAAATTGCACCAGTAGTTTATGAGGAGTAGTCCGGACAAGTTTTGTGACGGACTGACAGACAGACGGACGACGGAGAAGTGATACCTATATGTCGCCACTACTCTGTAGAGGCGACACAAAAATATTACCTCTAGAATGTTAACAATATTTTTCAATAATTTGGGTTATGAAATTTTGTTTTTGACCCCAGATGACCCATACTCAAACAATCTTTATGACTAATTTCCAGGATATTTGGACTCAAACAGTATCCTCTACAGTGTAAGCAAGGTTCTCCCATATTTGGGCTGTGTAACCTAGTTTTTGACTGCATATGAACATTATTTGAACTTGAGGTAGAAATTATACAAACAGCCTTTCTGACCAATTTTCTGGATATTTAGGCCAAAACAGTAGCCTCTACAGTGTTAACAAGGTTTTTCAATACCTACTTTTTGACCCAAGATGTCCCATATTGGAACTTGAGCTAGAAATCATCTTAACAACATTTTTGACTAATATCCAAGACATTTGGACAAATTAATAACCTCAAGAATATTAACTAGAAATGTGTTGTCACGCCACGGATGCCCTTGCATGCAGCCAAAATTTCAGATGTTATAATATTTAGTTCCAAATTTATTTGCACAAACTATTTTTTTTTCATTTTAAGTTCAAAGCCCTTAAAACTATTCAATGTAAACACAAACCCTTTTTATACAATGTTCAAGGCAATGAAACTTTTTAGTGTTAACCTTTTGTAAATTGCATATTTGTAGCCAAAATAATGACTACGTACATTTCCACAAAAATATGAGTGCTGAAACTGAAAATTCTAAATTTGTTTCAAACTTTCAATTGTCCAAAATCATTGAACCCTGACCTAATTCAAACATGAACTGCTTATTCATAAGATGTATCTATATGTCAAATTCGAGTTGAATGTGTACAACCATTGGGGAGATAATGAACTGAAAACTAAAAATTTCTGATTTTTGTTCAAAGTTCAAGAGGGATTACTCTGTCAGCTATCATCAAACCATGATCAAATTCGAACTTGACCAATGTATTCTCATGACATATTCATATGTGAAATTTGAGTTGAATATGTACAACTGTTGGGGAGATAATGAATGGAAACTGAAAATTTCCTTTTTTTCAAAGTGAAAGGGGCACAACTCTGCCAAAAATCATCAAACCATGACCAAATTTGAACATGACCTGCCCATTTATTTTACGTATCTATATTTCAAATTTGAGTTGAATGTTTAATACTGTTGGGGAGATAATGAATGGAAACTGAAAATTTCATATTATTTTCAAAGTGGAAGGGGCATAACTCTGCCAAAAATCATTGAACCATGACCAAATTAGAACTTGACCTGGGCATTCCTCTGACATATCCATACGTCAAATTTGAGTTCAATGTGTCATACCGTTTGGGAGATAATGAACGGAAACTGAAAATTTCATCAAGGGGCATAACTCTTTCAAAAGTCACTGGACCATGACCAAATTCAAACTTGACATGTATTTTCTCATGATATATCCATATGTCAAAATGAATGTATGCAACCATTACTAAGATAATGAACAGAAACTGATGATGACAGAATGACGGAAGGATGGAATGATGGAAATGCAGGGTAACACTATATGCCCCAGCCATTTAATGGCAGGGGCATCAAAAGGTTTTCTTCATGTTTGGGCTGTGTAACCTAGTTTTACACCCCAGGTTACCTTATTTGAAATTGCCCTAGAAATCATCAAAACAACCTTTCTAACCAATTTTCAGGATACTTGGACTGAGCAGTAGTCAATTGTGTTTTTTTTATAACAATACAACTGAACAATAACCAAAGTTTTAAAGATGATTGTGAAAATTTACAGGTACAAGATTTAATAATAACTTTCTTGAAATTTCCATTACCTCTGCAGCACCTGGTTCCTCATAGCGAAAGTTGTACTTTCTTTCAAATGTATCTTGCTTTATTAGAAGCTCTTCATCTCCAGAGAAATCTTCTTCATTTTCATTTACAATCTCATCATAAGTTGGCATTCTAATAAAACAGCAGAAAGTCTCGCATGGTATTTTATTACATGTACATTGTTTAACAAACAAATTCAAAACAATCCTCAAAAGTATGATCAATATAAATTTGATTAAATTTAAAGATCCTGTAACACATTTTTTTATGGTTTTAATTCATAAATATGATGCTCAAATTAAGATTTGTCAATATTGTAACTTCCAATAAGCATTATTAATAAAGATATTACCCAATTTAACATTTCATGTAAATAAAGGGAGGTAAATAGAAATTTATTTTCAATAAATTCTAAGTCAAATTTTCCAATAAGAAATGAATCCATATTGATTACATATAATGTGCACAAATATTTGCAGTACATATTTTACATATTCTTCGATGTTTGAAAATTGTTTTATTTGCAAAATTATATATTGTAAGTGTGTTTGTTACACACACAGTAACAATATCAATCTCAAAACATACAGGATCTTTAGGTCAGTTCTTATATTCTGCAGGAATATGAAGAAAAAGATACCTAAACTGCAATCTATTCTAAAACATTAGATTCTGTATTAACACAGCATTATTTTTTTCAATGACATGTACAGTCTGTTACCAAAATTATTACTGAAAACATTTTGGGGTGTTAGTCTCCGAGTGGTTGTTGACATCAAACCACTTGCCCCTCATCACAGTGTGATCGAATGTTGGCCTTTATATTTTTGTGCCCCCACTTTAGTGGCGGGAATTTAGATTTACCCTTGTCCGTCCTTCCGTCCATCTGTTCTCTTTTTTGTCGCAGGTAACTCAAAAAGTGTTTGACCTAGTCATGAAACTTTACAGGAATGTTGATCAGCATGTGTAGTTGTGCACCTTGGTATTTTCGTCTGGATATTTTTAGTATTTTCAGAGTAATTGCCCTTGACTTAGTAAAATTTTGCAATTTTCAACTTGTGTCGCATGTAACTCAAAAAGTATTTGACCTAGAGTCATGAAACCTTACAGGAATGTTGATCAGCATGTGTAGTTGTGCACATGGGTATTTTCATGTGGATATTTTTAGAGTTATTGCCCTTGACTTAGTAAAATTTTGCAATTTTCAACTTGTGTCGCATGTAACTCAAAAAGTATTTGACCTAGAGTCATGAAACCTTACAGGAATGTTGATTAGCATGTGTAGTTGTGCACTTGGGTATTTTCGTCTAAATTTATTTACTATTTTTAGAGTTATTGCCCTTGACTTAGTAAAATTTTGCAATTTTCAACTTGTGTCGCATGTAACTCAAAAAGTATTTGACATAGAGTCATGAAACTTTACAGGAGTATTGATCAGCATGTGTAGTTGTGCACATGGGTATTTTCGTTTAGATTTATTTTGTATTTTTAGAGTTATTGCCCTTGACTAAGTAAAATTTTGCAATTTTCAACTTGTGTCGCATGTAACTCAAAAAGTATTTGACATAGAGTCATGAAACTTTACAGGAGTATTGATCAGCATGTGTAGTTGTGCACCGGGTATTTTCGTTTAGATTTATTTTGTATTTTTAGAGTTATTGCCCTTGACTTAGAATTTTTTTTGCAATTTTCAACTTGTGTTGCATGTAACTCAAAAGGATTTGACATAGTCATTAAACCTTACGGGAAGGTTGCTAAGCATATTTAGTTTTGCACCTGGGGTTTCTTTTGTGGATTTATCCAGTATTTGTAGAGTTATGTCCCTTGACTTAGTAAAAACCGTTTCATTATGCTGTTATTTGTTCCTTGAAGTTAGAATCAACCAACTTTACAAGAATAATGATCAACATCACTAAATTACAGGAATAATGATTCACATTACTATGAAGCTATGCACCTGGGACTTTGCATGTGGATTTTTTCAGTTTTGAAAGAGTTATTGCCCTTGACTTACAGTAGTATAAATTAGCAACTTGTTCATGCATAGCTCAAAAAGTATTTCACTTGTAGGCCTGAAAGTTTACAAGAATGTTGGTCAGCATGTGTACTTATGCACCTTGGGGTTTGCTTGTGGTTTTATTCAGTATTTGTAAAGTTCTTGCCGTTTACTTAGTAAAAGATTTTTAGTTTTCAAAAAATATTTGACCTAGAGCAGAGATCTGCCAAGAATTTGAAAGTACTGGGCCCGGGACCCACTTGGTCTGAAAATGATGAGCCATTTTTACCAAAGTATGGGCCTTGGGAAAATAAGTAAACATTGACCAAAATAACTGTTAAAAAGTTTGTAGATAATTGAATTTCCCCGGTAATAAAACTTAAATCATATTTTATGACAAGTGGTTCACTTATAATTCAGTACTTTACCAATAATTAAAAATTATGCCTACATGGTTACTTTCTAACTAATATTAATTGCAGGCAAAAATGAAAATATTTTTTAAATGGCTGCTCAAAAATTTGATATGCAAATTTATTCACATAATTGCTGGTTCTTACTTGTAATGTCTTATATTGTGCATTATCCATTTAATTGTTCCTACTTTGCACCAAATGTCCCTTACCACTGTATATTGACGAATTTTATTGCCCCTTGTATGCTTCTGTGTAGACAGCATACATCAAAGACATTTGCCGACAGACCTTTTGATCATGAAAAAAGTCATGCACAATGTTTCTTTGATTGGTTAATCACCCTGTCAACGTTCTGATGACGAAATATACATATTTTTTTTACACTTCATCAGCCAAAACTTGCGTGAACTTGAGTGACCTTAGGGGTGATCAAGTTTTACACCTGTCAGATTATACTGTAACTTACAGCATTTCTTAAAATAGCAACACTTTTTTTTTCAGTTACCGATAATCATTTTAAATATTAAGTAGTTGTATAATTTGTTTGTTTGTTTTATTGGATTAAATTTATGGTAGTAGAAATGAGTATCTGTGTGGGAAAGGGATTATGAGAAGAAATGCGGTAAGTAGATAACATGGACAAAAGCTATAGGGGAATGGATAAACTCAAGAATATGCGTAATTACAGGAGCATGGGTAACATGTTGCTGTTGGTACCAGTTTTGACTGGATGACTAAATAACCCAGCAGACAAGTTTTGTTTTCTTATAAGTCTGGCACAGATTTTAGATGCGCCCATGGCCCTTTGCTGCTGATTTTCCTGCGCCATTCTCATTTTTTTAGCGCCAATGGCGCAAAATCGCGTCCTCGGCAGATCTCTGCTAGAGTCATAAGATTGACAGAACAGTGGCGCGGTGGGGGCACCGTGTCCTATGGACACATTTCTAGTTTCATTTGAGGAACCTATCCAGCTAGCTTAAGGAACCCTGGTGGTGCTACTTGGGTATGCCCTGTCTGGTCTGAAGTAATGCATGGAGAGGCAAATGACTTTTACAGTGTTGGTGTGACTTAAAACCCAACAACATCAACTTGTTGTTATTTTATAGATAACAATTATTTCAGCAATGCTGTCAGGGGTATTACAAAGAAAAACCATATTATGATAAATTGCAATTTACCAACATATTGTGAACTATCTAAAATCAAGGGTAAAACCAACAGAACCTTCACTTGAAGAGGTTATTGTTAAATATTGCTTTGTTCTGAACCCTATATTAACTGAACAGGAGCTGTCACGCAAAAATGACGAATGCACCCAAAAAATTTTCTTAAGTATTGCAGAAATGTACATTTTGTGTATTATGAAAAAAAAAGAGAATAAAAGTAACACAAACTGCTAAATATTGTTTTGGGAAATGAAGTGCTATTCATAGCAAACCACCTTCACCTTGGAGGTAGGGACATTGGTCTTGAACATGACACGTCATCTTAGACATTTATGTAGTTATTTTAAAATCCCACGACAAAGTTACAGTCAGACATGAATGTGGGTACCTTAAAACTCTAATTGAGATAATGTGAACCTTAAAACTGTATGTGTGACCTTGACCTTTGAGGTAGGGATGAGATTCTTCGATGTGACACATCGTCTTGATGTGGTTGACATTTGTGCCAAGTTATTTTAAATCCCACCATGCATGACAAAGTTAGAGTCCGGATATAAAGGTTGTCCAGACCTTCTTTCTGAGTTGACATTACGTTTTTTTTTCTTTCATCTTCTTAAATCTTTAATACCCCATAAGCGACGTATTTGCACCGCATAAGCAACCTCTTTCCCCACAAGTACAAGTCTGTACAGAATGAACATGGATATTCACCCCATGTCACTTGAGGCTGTACGGACAGACAGATGGATGGATGAACAAAGATAAGTCTAAATGCCCCCCCCTCCCTTATAGTGGGGGCACAAAAAAAAACATTTTCTATCCTTTAGAGTCCATGGGACTCCATCACTTCATCCACAACTAGAACTATCACTAAATGTGATTAATACCCCCACAAGACTGCTTCGGAAATGAGGATGTTACTAGTAACAGAATATCTTGTAAAAGAATTGAAATATAGAGTTATGGTTGTGGGCAATTAAAGATAGTTGTGGTTCTTGTATATTGCATTTCCTTTCAATGTGGTTGGCCATTGATGAAGTTTTATTGAATTACTCTGTAATAAGTCCAGAAAGACAAAGAAAAGGAACAAAGGGCAATAACTCTATAAATACTGAATATGGAGTTATAGTTCTTGTGCACTGCACTTCCTCTTTTTGTGCTTGACCATTGTATGAAGTTGTTTTGAATTTCAACCAGTAAGTTATGCTCCAGACAAGGAAAAGTATCAAAGGGCAGTAACTCTGTATTTTGTCAAAATGGAGTTATGGCTCTTATGCACTGCACTTCCTTTTAATGTCCTTGACAACTGTATGAAGTTGTTTTGAATTCCAAGGCCATCCTTAAAAAAATGTTTGTTTGCAGTAACGCGACCGACTCACAAAATTTGCCCCTACTCAAAAGTTTTTTTCATGGTCTGGATAAAAAAAAACTTTTTTTTTGAATCAGAAAATTATGCCTTGTGCTTTGTTTTTGTTCTTTTAAAGGTTAATAGAAGAAATAAAATGTAGGTATTATTTAATTAGAATTCATTTATCAATTTATTAATTGTTACCAGATTATCAAAGCATAAATTGTCCAGCATTTTGAAATTCCATGTTTATTTGGGAGTACAGTTCAATAAAAAAAAAAAAAAAAAAAAAAATCGTCCTACCTACCCACCTTGAAAATTCTGGGTCGGGTTACTGCAAACAAACATTTTTTTAAGGATGGCCCAACCAGTAATTTCAAGTTATGCCCCGGACAAGGAAAAGCGACAAAGGGCAATAACTCTGTAATTAGTCAAGATAGAGTTATGGTTCTTCTGCACTGCACTTCCTCTCAATGTGCTTGACCATTGTATGTAGTTATATTGAATTCCAACCATTAGTCTTCAAGTTATACTCCGGACAAAAGAAAGCAATGGAAAAGTAACAAAGGGCAATAACTCTGTAATTACTTTAGATAGAGTTATGGTACTTGTGCACTGCACTTCCCCTTATTGTGTTTGACAATTGTATGAAGTTGTTTTGAATTCAAACCAGTAGTGTTCAAGTTATGCCCCGGACAAGGAAAAGTAACAAAGGGCAGTAACTCTGTAATTAGTCCAGATAGAGTTATGGTTCTTGTGCACTGCACTTCCTCTCAATGTGCTTGACCATTGTATGTAGTTATATTGAATTCCAACCATTAGTCACCAAGTTATGGTACGGACAAAAGAAAGCAATGGAAAAGTAACAAAGGGCAATAACTCTGTAATTACTTTAGATAGAGTTATGGTTCTTGTGCACTGCACTTCCCCTTACTGTGTTTGACAATTGTATGAAGTTGTTTTGAATTCCAACCAGTAATTTTCAAGTTATGCCCCGGACAAGGAAAAGTAACAAAGGGCAATAACTCTGTAATTAGTCAAGATAGAGTTATGGTTCTTGTGCACTGCACTTCCTCTCAATGTGCTGGACCATTGTATGTAGTTATATTGAATTCCAACCATTAGTCTTCAAGTTATACTCCGGACAAAAGAAAGCAATGGAAAAGTAACAAAGGGCAATAACTCTGTAATTACTTTAGATAGAGTTATGGTTCTTGTGCACTGCACTTCCCCTTATTGTGTTTGACAATTGTATGAAGTTGTTTTGAATTCAAACCAGTAGTGTTCAAGTTATGCCCTGGACAAGGAAAAGTAACAAAGGGCAGTAACTCTGTAATTAGTCAAGATAGAGTTATGGTTCTTGTGCACTGCACTTCCTCTCAATGTGCTTGACCATTGTATGTAGTTATATTGAATTCCAACCATTAGTCTTCAAGTTATACTCCGGACAAAAGAAAGCAATGGAAAAGTAACAAAAGGCAATAACTCTGTAATTACTTTAGATAGAGTTATGGTTCTTGTGCACTGCACTTCCCCTTACTGTGTTTGACAATTGTATGAAGTTGTTTTGAATTCCAACCAGTAATTTTCAAGTTATGCCCCGGACAAGGAAAAGTAACAAAGGGCAATAACTCTGTAATTAGTCAAGATAGAGTTATGGTTCTTGTGCACTGCACTTCCTCTCAATGTGCTTGACCATTGTATGTAGTTATATTGAATTCCAACCATTAGTCTTCAAGTTATACTCCGGACAAAAGAAAGTAATGGAAAAGTAACAAAGGGCAATAACTCTGTAATTACTTTAGATAGAGTTATGGTTCTTGTGCACTGCACTTCCCCTTATTGTGTTTGACAATTGTATGAAGTTGTTTTGAATTCAAACCAGTAGTGTTCAAGTTATGCCCCGGACAAGGAAAAGTAACAAAGGGCAGTAACTCTGTAATTAGTCAAGATAGAGTTATGGTTCTTGTGCACTGCACTTCCTCTCAATGTGCTTGACCATTGTATGTAGCTATATTGAATTCCAACCATTAGTCTTCAAGTTATACTCCGGACAAAAGAAAGCAATGGAAAAGTAACAAAGGGCAATAACTCTGTAATTACTTTAGATAGAGTTATGGTTCTTGTGCACTGCACTTCCCCTTATTGTGTTTGACAATTGTATGAAGTTGTTTTGAATTCCAACCAGTAGTTTTCAAGTTATGCCCCGGACAAGGAAAAGTAACAAAGGGCAATAACTCTGTAATTAGTCAAGATAGAGTTATGGTTCTTGTGCACTGCACTTCCTCTCAATGTGCTTGACCATTGTATGTAGTTATATTGAATTCCAACTATTAGTCTTAAAGTTATGGTCCGGACAAGGAAAATGCAACGGACGTCTGGACCGACCGACCGACCGACCGACCGCCCGACCGACCGACCACCGGGTGACTCCTATATACCCCCCCAAACTTCGTTTTTGGGGGTATAATTAGGTACCTGAGTAGATGCATTGGCTTTCATAAGCTTACTTCATAGTTACACAAGAAGCATTTAAAATCCACAGGTCTAACACCCTCTTACCTGAGCAAATCAAGTTTAACAAAAACTAGAAGTGGTTTTTGTTACAAAAACATATGTTTCCCAAAACAGAGTATAGTACTGATCACTCCTGTAAATTTCGGGCATAATCCCACGAGCAGCGTAATGTGCCTGTGCTATGCACAACTAGGCATGGCACTAATCACTCCTGTGAAGTTTCATTAAAAATCCCCAGAGCAGTTTAACATGTGAAAGCCGGACAAGATTTTTCTATTTATAGCTCTGGCCGCCATTTTGTGCAGTTAAGTGGAACATGCTGGCAATATGCACAACAAGGGATGGAACTGATCACTCCTGTGAAGTTTCATTAAAATCCCACTAGCAGTTTGACCTGTGAAAGCAGGACAAGATTTTTCTATTTATAGCTCTGGTAGCCATTTTGTGCACCGGAGTGGAACCTGCCAGCAATATGCACAACTAGGGAAAGCACTGATCACTCTTGTGAAATTTTAATGAAATCAAACCAGCAGTTTGACCTGTGAAAGCCAGACAAGATTTTTCAATTTATAGCTCTGGTAGCCATTTTGTGCAGTGGAGCGGAATGTGCTGGAAATCTGGACAGCAGTATAACCCGTGAAAGACGGACAAGCTAAATGTGTACAGACATGCAACCGAATTGGGATAAAGGGCATTTCTATTGTACTTTTGTTTAATAGATGGCCATTGGCCTTCTGTTACGGAGATAACTCTATTGTTCTCTTTTATTTCGTTTACAGTTAGATAGCCCTCTAACCCTATTCGGTAGTTTGGACGGACGAACGGATGGACAAACGGCTAAGGCAAAAAAAGTTTCGGAGAAGTAATTCAGCATATTCAAAAATCATAAAGTACTGAACTAAAATTGTTAAGTAACTACCTTTCATCATTGTCTATGTATTGTCTGTTGAGGATGTAGTTCTTCAGAAACTTTTCTCCGGCATCTAGATTATTACTCTGCCAGTAGTTCTTTAGTGGTTCCTAAGAAAACAAGATGGCATTTGTAAAAAATGCCATGCCACCGCATAAATACAACACTAAATAGTAATGTAGGAACACAATTTTTTTGTTTCTATACAGATTGCCATAATGCATAGATCACTTACCTATCATTATCAGATAAGTACCTTCAGACAATAAGATTTTGATTTTTTACTTTATGACATAGTGACTGAAAATCAATGATCCCCAGGGGCGGGGCCAATTTTGACCCCAGGGCTTTAATTTGAATAATCTTGCTAGAGGTTCACTACACAATGTTTAATGCAAAATGTCTCACCTCTAGCCTTTGTCAATTAGAGAAGATGATTTTTTTAAAGTTTTTACTATATACATGTAAGGAAAACCTATGACCCCCGGGGCTGGGCTAGTTTTGACACTAGAGGCAAAACAACTTTGGAAGCCCTACACCCAAGGATCAATCCTCCCAAGTTTGGTTGAAATTGGACTAGTGGTTTTCCACAAGAAGATTTTTTAAGTTCACTACATAATCTTCATAACACACACACAAACAAACACACACACACACAGGTGAATCGCTATATGCCACCGCATCGCAGATGCTGCGGTGGCATAAAAATAATTAATTCCAGTTCATCAATATTTCAGCCCCCTACCAACTGCAAGCTCCTTGGTAATATACTAATTCTAACTTTGTTTGTTTGTTTGTTTCATTTTACGCCTTTTTCCAACAGTATTTCAGTCATAAAGGCGGGTAGTTTCCTAACCATCGTTCCTGGAGAGTTACACCAGTACTAGACTACCTTCCTCCGCGCTAAACTAATTCTAACATATTTGTTTAAAAGAACCTGCACACTTGCCAACCTGGATCATACAAGAGCGATGAGTGATCACATTTGTCGCTTTATGATGGCTAATTGCATGTTGCATCTAATGTGAAGCAGGAGACACAAAAGTTCATTAACAGGCCAAAACACTGTTTTTATTCAAGGGTCATATTTCTGCCAAAAATAATTCAAACGGAAAACCCATTAAACATCCACACATACTTGAAGTACTGATCAATCCTGTAAAGTTTCATCCAAATTTCATAAGTAGTATAAAAGAAATGGACAGACAGAAGATGCAAAAGTGACCCCTAAAGGTTGTGACTACTTTATAGCATGCACCAGCTTCTGTGTAGCTGGCAACACAAAAATCATTATCAGGCAAAAACACCTTTTTATTCAAGGGCAATAACTCAGTAAACAAGCAACTTTGTTGGATTTATATCCCCTGCCGAGTTGTGGTTATTACTTACACAACAACTGGAGACATAAGACTGTATTTATATTTATCATGGCATAAACAGAAATATTTTTTTGTACATGATAAAAATTCAGGGCAAAAACAGAGGCCATAACTCTGTGTTAAATAATATTATCTGGACATGCCAATGAGATGCATATTGCCTTTTTGTATAGATGGTTCCCTTAAAGTTTTGTTGAAATCAATCCAGTAGTTGCAAAGAAATAGCAATATTGCCCTTTATGCATACTACAAAACTAATCAAGGGCCATAACCCTGTGTTGAAGAGTCTGAATAAAAAAAGGCAACAATATGCACATCTCCTCTTGGTATTAATGGTTCCCATAAAATTTTCTTGAATTCAAGCAAGAAGTTGCAGAGAAATAGCTCAGAAATGGTTATTGCTCTATTTACTGCACATACTGCATAACACATCAAGGGCCATAACTCTGTGTTGAAGGGTCTGACCGAAACATTGGGAGGATAAGCCCATCTCCTCTTATTATTGATGGTTCCCATATAGTTTCGTTTAATTCCAGACAGTAGATGCAGAGAAAAAGTGTGAAACAATTATTGCCCTATATGCACTCTGCATAACTTATCAGGGGCCGTAACTTTGTGTTGAAGTGTCTGACCAAATCAAGGCCAAGATATGTGTATCTCCTTTTGGTATTGAAGGTTCAATATCTACCAGTAATTACACAGAAATAGCATGGAAACGATTATTACTCTATATGTATACTGCATTATAAGTGCCATAACTCTATGTTGAAGGGTCTGACCGGAACAAGGCAACAACATGCAAATCTGATCTTGTATTGACGGTTCCAATGAAGTTTCATTGAATTCCTGCTGGTGGTTGCAGGAAATAACACAGAAACAATTATTGCTTCATATGCATACTGCATAACTAGCCAAGGGCCATAACTCTGTGATGAAGGGTTTAACCAGAACAAGGAGACGAAATGCGCATCTTGTCATGATATTGATGATTCCCATAAAGTTTCCTGAATTCCTGCCAGAATTAGCACAGAAACGATTATTGCTCTATTCGCATACTGCATTATAAATCAGGGGCCATAACCCTGTGTTGAAGGGTCTGACCAGAACAAGGCGACAATATGTGCACAGGGTTTTAGCCAGGAATTTCTGAAGGCATGTTGCAAAAAAAAATTCTAGGCAGTTGGCTCGGCTTGGAATATTGACAGCTTATAGGGAAGGGGAGAATATGTAATAGAAAAAGAATCTAAACATGAGGCTATCTGATGTGTATGAGGGGGCTACAGTATTAATCAGATTGCAGAGTGTTTTGCTGTTCTTTCTCTTTTGTTTCATTGTCAAACATTATAAGAGCCATGTTCACATGGCCGTCCCCCGCCAAATATGTTTGCTCATTAGAAGAATGAATATGAAGTAGAGCAGAATAATTTAATTTTAAGAGGTCTTTTGGAAATGAAAACTATGGCTGAAGTGATTACAGATTTGAAACCTATGTGAATACTGATGGCTAAAAATAACAAATGGCAGTAACTGAAAAATAATGCAAGGTAGTTTATCATACTTGTGTGCTGCACTCCTTCTCAATGAGATCTATCCACATATGAAGTTTCAAGTTGATACCTCTTACACTTTTTGAGATAAGCTCCAAACAAAAGGTATGAAAAATAACAAAGGGCAATAACTCAAAAATTATAAAGGGTAGGGTTATCATTCTTAAGTACAGCATTCCTCCTCAATAAGATAAATCCATCTATGAAGTTTCATGTTGACATCTCAAAGACTTTTTGAGTTATGCTCCACTCAGATGAAAAATTAAGTATGAAAAATAACAAAGGGCAACAACTCAAAAATTATGATGGGAAGTGTTATCACTCTTGTGCACTGCACACCTCCTGAGTGAGATCTATCCACCTATGAAGTTTCATGTTGATAACTCAAAGGCTTTTTTGAGTTATGCTCTGGACAAAAATTAAGTTTGAAAAATAACAAAGGGCAACATATATCCCCCGCCGAGTACTGGTTATTATATCAACACAACAACTGAAGACATAAGGCTTTATTTATATATTTATCATGGCATAAACAGTAATATTCTTTGAACTTGATAAATATTCAGGGCAATAACAGAGCCTTAACTCTGTGTTAAATATCTGGAAATGCCAATGAGATGTATGCATACTGCATAACTAATCAAGGGCCATAAATCTGAGTTATAAGTGTCTGACCGGAACAAGGTGACATTATGCACATCTCCTCTTCGTATCCCATAAAGTTTCATTGAATTCCAGCCAGTAGTTACAGAGGTAGCACGGAAACGATTATTGCTCTGGTTGTATACTACATAAGCTATCAAGGGCCATAACTCTAAGTTAAAATGTCTGACCCGAACAAGACAACGATATGCCCATCTTCTCTTGGTATTGAAAGTTCCAATAAAGTTTCATTGAATTCCAGCCAGTAGTTGCAGAGAAGTAGCGCAGAAACGAATATTTTTTCTATATGCATACTGAATAACTAATCAAGGGCCATAACTCCGAGTTAAAATGTCTGACCCCAACAAGGCAATGATATCCGCATCTTCTCTTGGAATTGAAAGTTCCCATAAAGTTTTATTGAATTCCAGCCAGTAGTTGCAGAGAAGTAGCGCGGAAATGATTTTTACTCTATATGCATACTGCAAAACTAATCAAGGGCCATAACTCTGAGTTAAAGTGTCAGACCGGAACAAGGCGACGATATGCGCATCCTCTCTTGATATTGAAGGTTCCCATAAAGTTTTGTTGAATTCCAGTCAGTAGTTGCAGAGAAGTAGCGCGGAAACAAATTTTACTCTATATGCATACTGCATAACTAATCACTTGGGCCATAACTCTGAGTTAAAGTGTCGGAATGGAACAAGCCGACGATGTGCGCATCCCCTCTTGATATTGAAGGTTCCCATAAAGTTTCGTTGAATGCAGAGAAGTAGCGCCGAAACGATTTTTACTCTATATGCATACTTCATAACTAATCAAGGGCCATAATTCTGAGTTAAAGCGTCGGACATGAACAAGCCGACGATATGCGCATCTCCTCTTGATATTGATGATTCCCATAAAGTTTCGTTGAATTCCAGCCAGTAGTTGCAGAGAACTAGTCCGGAAACGAAATTCGGACAGATGGATGGACGAACAGACAGACAAAAAACGCCAAAGCTATATCCCCCTTCCGATTCCATCGGCAGGGGATGATAACCGGAAAATAATGCAGGGTAGTTTTTTGTTTGTTTCATTTTACGCCTTTTTCAAACAGTATTTCAGTCATATAGGCAGGTAATTTCCTAACCATCGTTCCTGGAGAGAATTATCATTCTTGTGCGCTGTAGTCCTCCTCAATGAGATCTATCCACCTATGAAGTTTCAAGTTGACATCTCAAAGGCTTTTTTAGTTATGCTCTGGACAAAAATTAAGCATGAAAATTAACAAAGGGCAATAACTGAAAAATTATGCAGGGTAGAGTTATCATTCTTGTGTGCTGCATTCCTTTTCAATGAGATCTATCCACCTATGAACTTTCAAGTTGATAGTTTTACACTTTTTGACATAAGCTCCAAACAAAAAGTAGGAAAAATAACAAAGGGCAATAACTCATAAATTATAATGAGAAGAGTTATCATTCTTGTGCACAACAGTCCTCATCAGTAAGATCTATTCACCTATGAAGTTTCATGTTGACATCTCAAAGACTTTTTGAG